TCAAAAGTATACATGCACTGGTAGTTAAGGGGCTAAAACTAAGTTGTATGGTCCTTTAAAAGCCTCCACAGGGCCCCTGTTTGTCCTCAGGCCACACTTTAAGAACCCTGTGTTCGGAGATGTAGGTTTTGCATGTATTATATTGTACTGCGTCTCCGTCACACACACACACACACACACACACACACACACACACCGAGTAAACATGTACGACTGGCTGAGCGTGGTTAGCTAGCTGCAGCTTCAAGGCGTCCATAATAATGATCAGTGGCTCTCAACTTCAGAATCGGGGCTTTGCTGTCGGGGTCGGGCGACTGTTGTTGATGATACGCGGCCGCGGGTGACATGTGCTATTCATACGCGAGCTTGTGTGGTCACGTTTAGCAGCCGGGAAGTCTTGATTCATGTGGGCATTATGCACGCCGGACGCTTATGGCACCTCTCCCTGTTGCTGTGCAGTCAGGCCCATTTGTTTGGAAATGGGTTTACATACATCTTCCTCCAAATGACTCTCCCTCTTCCCCTCCTTGGGCTTACAGCTCTTGCACACACACATATACATATTGGGTAAACTAGAGGCTACAAACATGCAGCGATGTCAGCTGGAAAAGAGGGCATTTAGGTGATGCAATTCACCCTCTGTCGGCCATGTTGGAGGTACTTGGCTGGGCAGCTGTGGTTATGAAAAGCCCATTATGCTTTTACTTGAGCTCCCTCAGTGAGATTCAATGATCTTGGGTCAAGTGATTTTGTTTTCATCCGATAGAATTTGCTTTCTGAGCTATGTAACCATCACTGCTTGGTTTCAAACCCATCCGATTCATGCACCAGCTAATATAAACTTTGCTTTAAGCCTTAGTTAAGGTTTTACCAATTTTGAAGCAACCTATGCCCTACACTGATGAGCTTTTCCCCCGCAGTAGAACCCTGGTCCAAACCTAAAGGCCCAGAAAACCTGTTTTCGCAATCGGCTTCTTACTATAAACCATTAGATCCTACATGAATACACAAACATCCTCTAAACTTGAGACCGGTCGGGTTATTTAACAAGAGAGATTTCTGGATTTTCAGAATGAAAATCTGTTGTCGGGTTGTTTTTAGGTGTAAGAATGTTTTCTTTTTCAGACTTTAACTTTGCTCGTTTAGCTATGAATATTTAAGAGATACACCTAAGTTTTAACGCCACATTTTTAGAGGCTTTAAGGTTTACTTCTACAGAGCTCTGTGTTCTGATTCTAGCATATATTTGTGAGCTTTTGTGCCCATACACACCTGCACTCAACCTCAGATCCTGCAACACAACTGCACTAAAATTTCCCCCTTATTATACTTAAAGATGAAAAGAAAACTCTGCTTCCCTGTGGAAATTAGTCTCACTACCTCCATGGCAGCATCTTTTTAATATCTGTTAAAAATATTTTTGTATTTCTGCATTACGTGGTCTTGTTTTTGTTTTTTTTATCCCCGTCTCTTTTGAGCTCTTTAGACTTTATTTGGGTCATTTTTTTCTCTCTGTACTCTCTCAATCGTTTGTTACTTTGTCTGTTTTTCTGTTGAGCAATTTGCAATGGAATAGTGCTTTAGAAATATTATTTTGATACATTTATAGACAAAATCAACATGCTATCACTAACATTGCCTTGGTAAATTAGCCTGGTTAGCTATTCAGCTATTGGATGTTTGTTGGTCTTCATCAAAGGCTCGACTGTGCTTTAGCCCGACTACTGCAAACTTTCCCATTAGTTTGTGACTTTAACACATTTTTTAAATATTATGTTTCAATTCCTTCGCGCCTGCAAAAGTTGATAAAAGTCCCTCTTTGTGACCTTTTAACCTTCTAACATCACAGTCTTGAGTAGAGACACCGGACGTGATTTCTGGTTGTGAGACAACTGCAAAGCCTCTATAGTAGCATGATTGGCCACACTTATAGGCACGCTCTCTCTTCCCTGCTTCACAGAGCTGCTGCTAGCCCCTTCCGCCCCCTTCCCCGCCATCTCCTCCCTCCTTCTTCGTCCAGGCCTGGCGTGAGCGTTGAAGCCAGCAGCATCACAAAAGCAGCTTTGAGGGGCTTGCACGCTGGCCGCCGACCCCTCTGAGCTCACACCCACCACACATTGCTCACCAAGCAGGCCTTAGTGCAGACTGCAAACCAGGCTAGGAAATATGTCACAAGACTGGAGGGGGGACTCTTATACTACTAACCTCTTTCCTCTGTTTTCATTTCAGAGTTTGGTTTTTTTTGTCTTTAGCTTGTATAAATGACGAGTAGTTAGAGGAGAGTTAAACAATGCAGCACAGAATAGAGCACAATAGAACTTTGTTGTTCAACCAATGTTGGAAAATTGCCTCAGCATGGACTGTCAAGTCAAATATCCCTCTCAGCTTTTGGCTTTTGGTTGTGCACTGTCAGTTCGTCATTCCAGGAAGTGATGTCGACCGTGCGTGAACATGTGCACTGGCCAAGTGCGTGCGCGCTTCTCCATTTGTTGCATATTTTGGCGAGGATTTTTCTTCAAAAATGAACACCAGGATTTGTTTTCAGCCGAGCAGGATCACATTAAATTCGTCCCTTCTGAGGATTTGAACAGGTTTTTTCCATCTTGATATAAATAGTTTTCACTTTTTAAATATTTTTTCACACTGCCTGACATGTAGTGTCACATTCAACACGTCACGTGTCGTCAATTTGGGACAAAACACATTTTTTTCTACTTTTCAAAGCGACATATGGCACCACACATGCTGGTATTAATATACATTGCTTCACACAGTATCACTGCTCATGTGGATGTCTTCATTGTCAAAATAGGAAAAAAGACTGAAAGCTTTTATTATGTTCCTACAACCTCCAAATCAAGGTCTTCCACAGGGACGCCTCCTTTGTATAACTGAACTTGAGATAATGCAGGGTGTCATGTAAAATGAAATTACATGCAGCACGCCGTTCTCTCCTCTGCACAGTGCTGCGCGTCTTGTTCCTCAGACTGTAACCTTCATATTGTAGGTGTGAGACGAAAGCTTAGCAAAGCATGGCCAATTCTCAGCGGTTACGCCTGTGGTTGGTGACTGTGCAGGCGAGGGTGCGTGTTTTAAATTCAGTCCTCTCCGGCGTGCGTGGCTGTGTTCGTCGCAGACCTTTTCGGATTAGCAGTCCACAAACACAAATCCTCCCAACAATGACTCACACACGTCTCAGTACGTCGTCAGTATCTGCCACGGAAACTCAGTTTAGCCTACATTTATCCAACCTGTGTGTTCCCCAGCTAAAACTCTGAATGACAGTGTTACGTAACGCCGCTCTGTTCTCCCAGTAATCTCACTGTATGTCTTTGAGTCTTCTTTTAGGAAAAACTGCACCCACAGGAGTCCATGTCAGCGCTGTGATCCATATTCTGATGTTTAAATGTCTGTTCATATGCAAAATGTTTAAGGAAACAGCTGATCTCAAGGTTAGGCAGCAGTCATTTTGTGTATTTTTGGAAAGTTCAGATTTGTGTTACTCGGTTGGTTTCACTAACAGTCCCAGTAATACCTTTATCTGTATTCAGAAACAGACTCACACCCTCAGAGTCAGTTAGCCAATATTGTTTTCTTAAAATGACACACAGTTCCACTTGTCTCCGATTAGTTTCACTTCTTTCAGGAAGATTCTAGAAACAAGACTTGAATCAGGAAAATGGCAAAATTACAAGAGCTAGAAAACAAAGCAGCTTTGGTGACAACTAGGAAAAATAAACATGTGTCACCATCTCTGGTGGCTCACTGGCGTGTTACTGTATTCCTGTGCTGCACTTTCCAGAAATCACCTGTCAATCAAACAGTGTAGGCGGCACTGTTTTGTCCTTTTACATACATTTTCTCTTGTTGACATTTTAGTTTCTTAGCTGGATTTTTTGCAGGGCCATCACTGCGTATGCTAAGTACCCTGTTCTTCTTCTTCTGCTTACTCCAAACAAACTGAAAACACATCATGTTCCCAGTAAAGAGACACTGAGTGTTTGGACCGGCAAATGGAAAAGCTTTCATAAACTTGCTATAGGCCGAGCTACAGGCGGTGGACGGCAACAAATAACTGCACAAATCTGTTTTGGGACAAATCGAACCTCATATAAACCTGAAAATGTCGTAGATTATGATTTCAAGTCTCAAAAGTGACGTGGAAGACCAGTTCTGTTGGCAAAAGTGGTTTTGTGTGGTGGTAGTGGTGCACAGAACTTTAGCTCAAGTAAAAGTAGCCTTTGTAAGCAGGTAAAAGCAAGTATTATCACCAAAATAAAATATTAAAAGCAAATATAGGAACTCCTGGCTTTGTGGCCGTTCATTTTTCACATAATCGGATGGCTTTTTTAATTCATTTAGTTTCTCAGAAAACGTAATCCTTCAGTGTATCTAGAAAAATCACCAACACATGGATATACATCTTATGAATTGATGCATGTTCATAGCAGTCAAAGCAGAGCTGATTTTAGTCTTTGCTTTTACTGTTGGGTTGAGTGTAAAAATGTTCATACCAGCTGAACTGAACAACAAACTGAACACAGGAGTCAACGAGAGACACATATTGTACCGCTAGCACCCAGTGAATTAAATCCAATAGAGCGACATTTCTATCTAACAGATGATCTTCATTGTGGCTGCTTGATTAAGAATCAATCTGCTCTCTGAATGGAACAATCAGCGCACAGCGGCCTGATACTCTCTTTAGGTCAATGCGTGCTTCTCCAAAAACGATGGAAAAATAGAGACGAAACAAACAGCATGTTGAATGTACAGCACAAAAATGTACTATGGAGTCAAATAAATGTAATGGAGTACATTATCTGCCTCAGAAATGTACTGTAAATGGCGAAATTACAACGGAAATGTACTTACCGGTTTTGTATATTCGTAGTAATATTTTCCTGTAATTTGATTATTTTGTTTACTTATTATTACTTATTGAGTGTACCCATCTGATTCTAATGTCTGTTTTTCTGTTTTGTCTCTTCCCCTTTCAGCAGAGCCACAGTCCCCTGGCAACACACACACACACACACACACACACACACACACACACACACACACAAAACTTTGGTCTTCCTACAGTATGACACTCCTCCTTGTCCCCCATCCTCCCCCTGGTGCACAACCTCTGGAGGTAAGGGCCTTAGCTTGTGTGTGTGTGTGTGTGTGTGTGTGTGTGTGTGTGTGTGTGTGTGCCTGTGCGTGTACCGTCTCTCTCCCTCAGCAAAAGCGGACACGCCGTCTCCCCAGCTTCCGTTTTCCTCTGCACGCCCGCTGCTGGAGTATTCACGCTTCAGGCTGTTTTCTTTGAGAGAGAGAGAGAGAGAGAGAGAGAGAGGAGAGAGAGAGAGACGGAGTATGAAAATATGCAAATGCTATTGTTGAAACGCAGAACGAAAGAGGGGATGGGGGGGGAGGGGGGGGATGCCGCCGCCGCTTCCACCTTTGCTACTTCCGCCTCCATCCATCCATACACTACATGGTGAGAGAGAGAGACAGAGAGAGAGAGAGAGAGAGAGAGAGAGAGAGAGAGAGAGAGAGAGAGGGCTTCAGGTCTGACCAAGGAGAGAGAGGGAGAGACAACAGGGGCAGGATATTAAAAATATGCTGAAAGGCCACCATTGTCTGTTTCAGTTGAGGCCTTTTTTCTGGACCCAATGGTAGAATACACACACACACACACACACACACACAGAGAGAGAGAGAGAGAGAGAGAGAGAGACATGCAGCTATTGGGATAATGAAATCCATCACACCAACCACAAGGCCAGACCTACAAATATCCCTAAGAGAGTGAGAGAGAGCAAGGCAGAGGCCTTTATCACACACTCTGTACATAATGTGTGCATATGACTAAACAGCGTCCATACAGCTCTGACAACATCTTCTAATACCAATAAATCTGACTCGAATTGAACTGAGACAAGAGAAAGAGGCTCGTTAGAGAGGGGTTATGTGATGTGACTAGGTACTAGGTGGAGTGGGAGGGATGTCAATCACAGTCTGTAAAGGTCCTGATACCACAGTGTAAAAATACTCCAGTAAAAGTTCTGTCTAAGAGTATTACCAGCAAAATACACTTTAAGTATCAAATGTGTTCGTAATGTAGAGCGGCTTTCCTTGCAGAGTGTTGAATTGTTATTTATTACCATGTTGGTTTAATACTGTGCCTTAATATTAGCAGCATTCTAATGTTGTGGCAACAAAGTGGCAGAAAATGGAAATGCTCAAGTAAAATACATTAAAGTAAGTACAATAAATCACCTGTGCTGTTGATGTACACTACTGTCCCACAATGCAATGGACACAATTGTCCCATAGTGACGCTAGAAGTCAGTCACAGTTAGGGTTGCAGAGAAAATCTATCCATATATACTAAATTCACTTGAATGCTTAGGATAATTTATAACCTATTCAAGAGTTATTAACATTAACATTTTACACACATTTTTATAACTTTTAAGCTAAAAAATCTGAGGCAAAACCTATGGCAAAATCTTGCCATAAATACCAGCATACATGTAAATCCCAGTAAAAAAGGAGAAAGTCATACGTTTAAACTTTTTTATGAACTAATGGTTTTTATTATGCCAGATGCTCAGCACCCTCCACTTTTCAGCACCCATGAGTGTAAGGGAATGGAGGACGTACGCGCAGTAAATTGAGATTCAAGACACTTACAAATTATCATCACTGGCAGGTGTAATGCCACATGATTGTTAATTTTCACATTTAAAAAGTGGCACATTGTATTGTTGGACTGTCAAGTAGTCACTGCTGCATTGTGGGACTCTCACACTCAAATCAAATGGAGGGTAAATATAATGCAACTTATAAAATGGGGAGGACACAGCCAGCTGAAGAAGGTAGAGTAAACCAAAATAACACAGTATTAAATCATTTGGAAAAATGTTACTTTCTCCAAAATCGCAGTTTGATTGACGCACATTGCATCATTTCCTGTTAGCACGAAACAATGAAACACACTGTTTTTCTTGCATAGATGGGCGCAACTTAGCTTTTGGCTCCGATGTTGTGCCCTATTATGTCATGTAGTGTGCTTGGTTGTTACACTGCTGCCAGTTTCTAGGCTGTGCAATGGCCTTCAAACGTCTGTGCATGAATAAATCATTTAATAGGAGCGCTGTCCTGCTGATACTCGACTGTATTAGATTAGTATGGGACACGGCAACAGGCAGCCATAGAGAGAGACAACTATTCTGTTAGTAGGGATGTGACGATGTATGTTTCTATCAAATCAGGATAATCATGAAATCCTCACATACCTTGACCTGAAGAAGGTGTCTAGCCAGCGTACAGTCCTGTATTGCTTTCCTGTATTATTTCCATGTGTTATGAATCTGTGTAATATCAGCTATTTTTCTAATGTCCAGAAAACACACAACCACACACAGAATAAGACAAGGAAAGAGACAATCATTCACATACAGAAGTAGAAACTAAAACAGACATATAGACACACACACAGACACACTCAGAGAGAGGAAGAGTGTAGCCCTGTGATAGTGGGAAGCCCATTTGTAAAGCCCTCACGCTCTCAGGAAGACTTTTTGAAGTGATTATGAAGACAGTTCAGATCAAAGGATTTGACAAGTCTGAGTGCGCGCCAAATATGAGGCCGGGTAATCACACTCAAGCCCCTCCATACAAGATGGCAGTGGTCCCCCCAGCTGCTTTGCAAATGTAATGTGACACTTACGGATAAACAGATTATCAAGGAATGGAGGGGTGGGGTTGGGTGCAGGGACCAAAAAGAGGGGGAAAAAAAAGAGAAAAATCTCCACAACTTGCAGAAATTAGAGGGGGAGATATAGTTTATTTAATGAACTCTGGGGACGGGCAGTGTCAGAGAAACGATGATTAATTCTCCAGCGCTGATACAGGTCTAAACGATATAATTTGGGAATATTAGTGGGAACATTAGATGATGAGGCTGTATTTCTCGTGGTGGTATGGTAGACTCGGGGGCTCGGGAGAGTGTTTTTTTTTTTTTTTTCCTTTCTCTTTTCCTTCACTAGTTATTATAGATTAATCCATAATCCTCACCACCTAAAGACATTTTTGTCAGTGAAGCTCAGGGATAGAGCCGGTAGAATTTTTTTTTTAAAATATATCTCTGCTTGTGCTCATTTTACCCTCAGCATGATGTCACATTGTCATGTCTCCTACTGAAAATACTCTATCGCCAGCTCCTCTCTGATATACTGTTTGATGAGGTATTTTGGCAGAGCCGAGGTGAGACTTATCAGTTTATGTAACTGGAAATTTTCACATCATGTACATGATTTTCTTAACCTTATGCCATGTGAAATGTGATGATCAGTGCTCATAAAAGGACAAAAGAATGCTCATAATGATTGATATGCATGATTTTTGTGGTTTTATGAATGAATTTGAGGAGAAGAGTGTTGTATAGGGCATGACTACATCATTGCCAAGGTAAATGTCAAGTTTTGCAACTTTGTCATAATGTCAAATAACACACTTGTACTGTATTTGAAGGAATTTCTTGTCGGAAATGTGCAGAGGTTTTTAATTCCAAACCCCATTGAGGAAATCATCATTTTTATTGCTGTTTTGTTGTGTCCCTCTGTAGAGCATTTCAGGACTGTCGAACACCAAACACCGGATAAAGTAAAAGCTTGTGTAGCAGATGTTGCAAAACTATTTGACGAAGTACATGTCATCGCTGTCCCGTGAAAACCATGTGTCCCAATGTGGTGATTTTGAATTGTTCAGATAGCAGATAGTTTAGTTGAGGTGTCCTAAAAAGTTCATTTATGGAGAGAATTCATCGACTTTTGAACCGTACTTTGGTCACAAAGATAGGTGTTTTGCAGAGGACAGAGACAATGCATTTTCTTGACATTGTAAGAAAAATAAAAGGAAATAAATGTCACTGATCTGACTGCAGAACACCAATAATGTATGTTTATGGCTGTCTGATTAATCAATATATAATAATAAAAACAGAACAACAGAAGAATTGCTCTATGTCTCTTTTTTCCTAAGCACAGTTAAGTCTTTACATCAAAAACAAAGTCCTCTACTTTCATTGTACGAGGCGATTAAAGTGGAGCTGAAGTGCCTCACTCAGAGTGACCGAGTGTCCATTTGTCCAGTCAGAAGAGGGTGTGCTCCTTTCTGTCTTTATCTGTATATGTGTGTGCGTTCTGAATGACCCTTGTGGCGGGACAAACGTCCCTTTGAGGGCGCACGGACAGATGGAAGGACGGGGCGACTCAGCGACAGACACAGAGGACTGAGGCTCCAGTGTAGCCGCCGCCACGTGGCCTGAATCCCCTTTCATCTCCGCAACGCGTCCATTTCCTGTCCCTTCGCTCACACAAACAAAACCATGATGCAGCAACACACTGATGGATAGATGGATGGATTCAAGGAGAGGTTTGGTGTTTTGAGGAGTCAAAAGATTTGGGCTGCTGATGATATTGATAACTACTTTCAAACAGCTCCTGGCCTTATTCACATAGAAATATTTTTGGTTTGGTTTATTTGCAAATACAAATGCCAAAAGCTGACAAGAGCACACAGACAGAGAGGCAGAAATACAAACTCTGCAGTTGAGAAAAAGAAACCCCACGGTGCTGATAAAAATATCTCACCCCAAAAAAGAAAAGAGGGAAAAAAAAAAACAAGTTCACCAGCAAAGACACATGTGAATTTGTCACAGCAACAAAATAGTGCCAAAAACTGATACAAAGTGAAATTGTAGCGTTTTGGTTCTTCGTATTTATTAAAAAAAAACACTCAAATTGGACATCTTTGATATCTAATTTTAGTAAAAACTTATATACGCCACCATATTGGACATAATTCTTCCTTTATCACTCTTTAACCCTGCACAGAAACTGCAAATTAATCAATAACATTTTATTAGTATCTGTAAATGCATCATAAAACCAACACCATCATTTACTTTCATAAATTAAAATGGACTTGCAGCACAGCTAAAGCTTTTCTTCCCCTCTAGCTCGATGTGTCAACAAGAGATGTCAATTTGATTGGTCAGTACTGAGGGCAGACTGCTATTGATTGGCTGGTCATTAGGAGAGAGCGGCCCGGCGGGAGTATCAGGGCTGACACCGTTAACACCGAGCGCCGCCTTGTCGACCGCTCTTTAACGAACGGCCATCAACCAACCGGGACCCGGGCCATTGACCCACCAGCTCCTTGCAATTCCTTACTGCCAGGCTGGAGTGTGAGTAAAGGGCTGTGGTGTGTGGTGGTATTGATCTCTGGATGAGACACTGGGGCTGCGGAGGGAAACTGTATCGGAGACAAGTTTACAATCGGAGTGAGAGCGATTTTTAGCTCTGAGGAGTCTCTGGAAGTTAACATCTTGAAAGCCCAAGAAAATAGGCGAAATGCAAAGGGAATACATTGAAACTGGCACTTCTTTAACCATTTGGTATCATTACAAGCTCTTTTTGGTCCCCAAGTGTATATTTATATTTCACACCACTCTGATACTCTGGCTCCATTTGTTTGGAATCGGCAAAGATTTAAAGAAATAAAACACTTCCCCAGAATATGCTGCAGCAACTGTTGTGCTATTTGCAACCAAATGGAACGAGCATAGATGAAATTTGGCCGGCGCAAATGGATCAAGAACAGGGAACAACTGGAAGAGATTTATGAAAACTGATTCCTGTTATTAACATAATTATGTGTCTGATAAATGTCCTTCAGTAGGAGGATGTTTTACATGGATTAATGGAGGTGTGACAATGAGAGGACGGGAAATGGGGGGCCTAAATCTGTCTCCTGGTCACTCCTGCCTTTCTGTACCACACTGAACTAAAGCCTTTACATAAAAATGACACCCATTTGTGATGAAGGTATAGAGCAGAGAGTAATGGTAAGGAGGTCAGGGTGGTGGATGGATGTACACATCTGCACCAACACAATACTGGGTTAACTTCAGCCAGTACTCCTGGGTAGAAAACTGCCCAAGACAATGGGTTGTTATGACCCTGTGTTTGTGTTGTTTTTCTTTATTGCTTTTTGCGATATTTACCCAAATTTAAATGTGGCTGGTAAATGTTCTCTTTTTAAACTTACATGTCACTATTTGTCACTAATAATATGTATATCATTTGCAGTTTTGATGATTCATTTCGTGTTGTATGACTAACAATACATTTGTGACAGATTGGAGGTCAAACTTAAGCTTCTTGTACCTAACACTGGGTCAAAATAAGCCTATTTTTAGTTTGGGTAAAGAACCCAACAGTAATATAAAAAACAGCACACTGATAGTAAGAAGAGTTAGTTTGCGTCCCATTACAGACTTGCAATTTATGTTTAATTAACTTTTATTCCCAGAACCACAATCTTTCCCTCACCATAACTATACTGCAGTTGCCACAGGGAGATATTGCAGAAGGGGGTTTTAAATGGCACTGGAGGTGTAAAAAAAAGAAAAAAGAAGGCATTATTGAATGTAATGGTTTTGGAGAACTGTCCGATATTGACAATCTTGTCTGGTGATAAAAAGAAAAGAAAGCCGTGCTTGAAAATTCTCGCAGGAAACTCCGATTTTCACAAGGTTTGTCTGGATGTGACTCTGAACATGTTTCCTGCAAACACTCCTCCCTCCTCAGGATGGTTTACCTGGCAGTATTCAACAGAAACTACAATTTCTTATTAAATTAAAAAGGTGTAACTTTAATATTTTGTCACATCTTTCATCAAAGTGCTGAAGATTCTAACAATCCCAGCAGGCATTCTGAGGTTGAACAGGTGTTTATTTGATGGTCTGTAAGAAATGTTAAGAACCTGTAGCTGCTGCCTGCATTGCATTGTTAAATCAGGAACCTATAATCTTCATACCAGAACACAAATTTAACTCATTTAATTACAAACTCAAGCTCCATACAGCATGCAGCATTAGCTAAATGCTTGAGGTGTAAGTGAATGTATTACATGCTGTGTATCTCAGGTATTTGACCATTTGGCTGATCAGACGTCTTCATAGTGAGAGTTGGCAGAGGTACAAGTCAACAAAATCGGATTGGTTCAGCACTGCCGTGCCTTCTGGGGTGCCTGCACATAAATCTGTGTGTGTGTTTGTGTGAGAAAGACAGAGAAAGTGCGTGTGTGTGTGTGTGTGTGTGTGTGTGGGTGTGTGTGTGTGTGTGTGTGGAAGGCGAAGAAGATGCAAGCTTGTGTGTGACAGCTATAGCCCGTTTTGGCACAAGCTACTCTTTGAAATACCATTAGCTGTACTTATCAGATTAGTTGGAGAAAAGGATTAACATTGATTGTGATACTGGCTGCCTGTATACTGGTTTATTCAGCTGGTTTAAGTTTGCTCAAAATATATATATATATAAAAAAATTAAATACTTGTTTTTAAATTTATTTTGATCCGAGGAAACAGGATGCACAGATAGCTTTAAAAGACAAACTTATTTTTAATGAATTCTGGTGAGTCTGGTAAAGTCACGGCGATCACAAACTGTGTATTTCATTTCAAATATTTCATGACATCTAGGAAGTGAGGGATGAAAATAGCAAATAAACACGGTGGCAGCCTGGAATATCTGTGTGTGTGACTGGCTGTGTGTGTCAGTTTGAGTGTGTGAGGGAGAGAGTGGCGGGTTGTGATCAGAAAGTGAATGAGCCATTTCACTGGCTGCAGCTCTCTCTCTCTCTCTCTCTCTCTCTCTCTCTCTCTCTCTCTCTCTCTCTCCCCATCTCTCAGAGGGAAAGCCCGAGCTGTGGACAGCAGTGGAAATGAGCTCGGCCGTGCAGTAAGTGTGGCGACCTCGTGGCTAACCCCGCACTGTTTCCACCACTCTCCCCACTAAATGATGCCTACTGTATCCTGCCCAAGAGGAGGAGGAGGAGGAGGAGGAGGAGGATGGAGCCTAAACTCCCCCAGCCTCCCAGTTTGCTCTCAACAGCCAATATGGAGGAGTAAAGGAGCAAAGATATGTTGCATATCCTACAAAGAATAACAGTGAATAGCATTAAACTACATTATGAATTAAAGGTCCCTTAAAAGAAACCATATTTTCTCAATCAGCTTCTTGATGTGAGTGATGGGTTCCCACATGAGCACAAACAATTCTACTTAAGTTAAAGCAGTTTTGGTTATTTCATGTGAAAGATTTGTGTTTCTTTGTTTTCTTTCTCTGTGCTCTTTTGGCAGGTTTGAAGTGGGCGGGGCTTGTTTGGGAAAAGGTGATGTCACATATTTGCTTGCACCAATCAGGATGCAGATCTGCACATTTGAATCAGGATCTAATGACAGTTGTTGGGCTGCTATGTTGTTGATTATTCAACTCCTAATAATTAAAGATGTTTTTAACTTAATGCATATTTAGTCTTAACATATTAGCGTTCCAGAGAAATACTTTTTAGACTTTAAAGAAAGTATGTTCAATATATATATATTGTATTTGAGCATGTTCCCTCTTGAGCTGTGTTGACTTGTTTTTCTTAAACTGAATAAAATATAAAAACCTAAGATGTTAAGAACCGTACATTACATTAAATGGAAAATTGTTGTCCCGTACATCATTTTGCAAATATCAAAGGTCCAAAAATTCAAGCTGATAAACAGTGTTTTGTGTCTTTGGAAACTTTTGGAATTTGAAAATAAAGTTGTGTGGGTTTGAATAATGTGTTAATGCATGAGCTTGCAATGATTAACGATACAACTCTACAACTGTACGGCACTTTATTAAATGCCTACTGGGCTTTGGAACGCTTGCAAATCAAAATGTCAATAAAAATATACTGAAATATACTTCTGCTTTATTCAAATGAAACATTTTTAGCTCAGCGTTGGTCTGTCGGAGTTAAACCATTGCATAGCTTTAAGCAGGGGCCAACTTCTTGCTCTTATTTCAAGGCCAGCGCCTCAACAATCCACAAAAATGCACTTAACTTGTGTAAAAACAGTAACTCATTACAATGGACACTGCTAAATAACAGTTAATATTTCTCTATGCTAAA